GTCTTTATGGGGGTTCATTGCATCTAAGACAGTGGGCCAAGGCATTCTGAAACACCTGCCAGTTGGCCTTGTCTGTTTTCCATCTTGGATTTGGTTGTGGCATTTGGGCTGGGTAGTTACAGTACCATAATGGTCACTTGTGACAGTCTCATCGACACACCATCTGATTTTCTCCACCAGAGCCGCAATAGCTAAGGTGAAGTCTAGGACCCCTCCTCTGACATGCGTTGGGTCTTGGGTATTGAGAAGAGCGATCTCAGGGAGTGTCTCAAGCACACTGGCTATGTAATAGTCTGCCGCATTCGATCCCCTGCAGAGAGCCAGGATGGGTGGTGTGCACTGAAGTCTCCCCCTATGTGCTGCAGTAGCACAAACCTAGCTGAATGGCCTGCTGTACACATTGTACATCGTCTCCACAGTGCAGCGCATCGGCTATTGCGGAGCAGGGGATTGTTGCTCTGACCAAGGTGATCAAGCCTCTTTTGCCAGCTGTGCGTGGCAGCATGAAGATATGATACCCTGAGAAGCGAACAATCCTCTTTATTAATGTCTCCTGTACTATGCTTAGATTGTGTGTCATAATGTTACTGGGTGTTAGTTACATCCGAGACGTCTTTGTATTCGGATTCAGATATATCAGAGTCTGATAACTCCACTGTAGAGTCCTCGCTGCTTGAGGGATCTTTGTTTTTGGGCTGTTTGTCAGGCTATTCCTGGGTCCACTGGGAGGTGGAGAGCCTTTGGTAGCTCTGACTTTTGTTAGTTTGGCTTTTCTCATTTCAGGCTTTGTCTGTGTGTCTTTCTTTTTCTTTGCTGGCTTTACCTTGGAAAGGTCAGCCTGAGCAGGCACTGGCTGCACAGCTTCAGCCTGGTTTGACTCTGCCTGTGAGGGTATGGCCAGGGTTGGAGTAGTGAAGGGAGTCCTTTTTTATTCGAGATATCCGGTGTCGGCTGGGGAGGAGCTTCCTTCCTCTTAGGAGGTCGGGAAGCTTTTTCTCTTTTTGTCGCTTTTTAGCAACCTCTTGTCGCCTGAGAGCCGCCTCTTTCCTGACAGAGCAAGCCAGGATCCAGGCATGATGCCTCTTAGCACAGTTGGGCATTTGGCTGTTGTGTCCCTTTGTCCTTCCCTCTATGCCTTAAGGCACACCTCGGTGTTGTGTGCCTTGCTACAGACTACTACAGGTGGTGACCGTATTTTTGGCACTTAAAACACCGAAGTGGCTCAGGCACATAGGTCCTTAGGTTGAAGGTGCCCCAGTTACCCAGATCAAGGGTAGTGGTTGGGTCACCAGGACTTGCCTGGTTGGAGTCTTTCCTTTCGACATTCGGGAAGCCTCCACGACCTTTGGGTGATGTGATCAGATCCACATCAAACGAAATTGTGACGCCAAGTAGCACCATCTTGGCTCTCCTATTGTCGGGATTCAGTGGCGAGAGACACACGTTCCTTCCATCTTTAAGCTCCTTCGTTACCTGCAAGAAATTCAGGGTTGCTTGGTCTCTAGCAACCCGAATTGACAACCTGATTTTTCTCTGCATCTCCATTGCTCTCACCAGTCGGTAGGCATTGTCGAAGCTTTCAGGTTTAAAAGGAACTTTAAACTGTGGGAAATGCCTAGGAGGTCCAGACTTCCTCAGAGTCTGTCTCCAGCCTGGGTCGTTTTGGACCGCCCTTTCGGTTTGAATTTTGAGCTCTAGTTGGGAGCAGCAACTGTTTTGGCTGGTTCAGCTTGTGCTCCCATCTCGGATCCCATCTCAGGGAGGACGTCTGAAAGGAACTCAGAGATTTCCCTGATTTGGCTGCAGGCCTGGAGAGGCCAGCACAAGATTCCATCTGCTGCACATTTTCATGGACAGACATGTTTTTGGCTGATGGATTCTCTGCCTTGTCCATTTTAGCATCAGGTGTGACAGAGTCATCCTGTGCTTTGGATTTTCTCTTGCCACTAGGAGCTCTGTATGGCTTCAAAGTAACTGCCATGATCTGGGTCCTGCATGGTTTGTCATCGTTAATCTCTTCATCTCTCTCTTTTTTTCATGATATTCAGCAGTTGTTTCATCCTTTCATGCTCCCACCCACCACGGAGTCCAATAAGGGGAAACTGTACATCAGAACAAATGTCTAACAGCTACAGGGGTGATGAGAGGATATACGCAGCCAATAGCCATTGTAACGGCACTCACGGACCTGTGTGAGTGCCATGACTGCTTGACCCTAGCCTCCCAAAGTATTGACCTGACCGGGCCAGGAAGAGGCCACCCGTTTTGCTTGAATAAGGGACCAAAGTGGCGTGTTGCTAGCCGCAGGGTGTACTCATGCACGGCATCGCTGAACCTCCAGGACTTCCGTCTCCACAGTGCACAAGGCTGCCACTCACGGCAAATATGCGGGTAGGTGTGAACCCCTGGGGAGAGACCAGAGGGGATGCTCTTCCACCTATAAGTTAGGCATCATTATTTGGAACCCTTTGTCCATCCCTCTCCAGTGCAACAGCTACCCAAAGGCTGATTCACCTCAGAGAGGGAGCTCAGGTCCTGCACATTTTCAAGGCGGTTCCAGTGGGAAGACTCGGAAAATGTGTGACAATTTTCTGGGTTACTCTGAACAAGGTTTCTCCAACATTTCCCTGAAAAATCACTAATCTGGTACTTCCTTCACTACCTGCACCTATCGGTCGTCCTGAGGTTGATCGCTTCCCTTTGACGACGGCGCCACACGCTGTTGGCCTACGGCCAGGCGGTGGGGTTTGTAGTTGTGCCCTCCCCTTGCACCTGTGTAAGCGAAGGGTGCAGGCTTTTTTCTTTTCCCACGATTCCTTGCTTGGGAACCGCCAAAATAAGCTTTGATTGTGGTCGTGCCCTGCATACTAGAGACCCGTCATTGTAGGGGCCTCTGCAGTTGCTGCAGCAAGACTTAACCCTTTCCCCCTTTTCAATTCTAGCTCGGCAAGTGTGCAGGATCCACCTAATTGGGAGCCCCTCATGCTGTACAATGTGTACAGCAGGCTAGGTCTGTGCTACTACACCACAAGACCAAGTGATTATAGGAGGAGGCTTCAATGCACACCACCCAATCCTGGCTCCCTGTAGGGAATCAGATGCGGCAGGCTATCACATAGCCAGTGTGCTTGAGACATTTTCCGAGATTTCTCTTCACAATACCCAAGAGTAAACGCATGTCAAGGGAGAGACTGTTACAAGTACCCATTATGGTACTATTACCACCCTCCTGGGTGCTGCTCCAGTCCCAGTGCGACAGCACAATCCTAGATGGAAAACAGGCAAAGCCAAATGGTAAGCCTTTCAGAATGCCTTGGCCCACTGTCTTAGATACAATGAACCCCCACAGAGTGAAAACTTGGATGTGCTTGAAGCCAGATTTACCAATGCCATAAATCAAGCAGCCTCACAGACCATACCTAAAATACGGCCTTGGTCCAAGAGTTACAAAGACCCCTGGTACTTTAATGACAAGATAAAGGAGGTCAACCACAGAGTGAACATATACAGAAATCAATTCTGAAGGTAAAAGAAAACATGATAATCTAGCCTCCTAAGGGAAAGTTCTCTGCGAGAACAAGCAGCAACAGTCTGTCAGCTGAATTGAGGGTAAGCCAAGAATGTCTACAACCAGACAGGGCAGAACCTGATAATACAGATGTTATCTTTTCTCTGGGGGAACTAAGAAAACCATATACAGTTCTCACTCAGCCCTGTGGCGTGGCCACAGACCATGATCGTTTTTTTTTTCTGTCATTAGCTTGTCAAGGAGAAAGAACCAATTCCCCATGCCTTGTCTGAAGGCAGAACCTATTTATGGATTAGTTAATACTGTAACCCACACTGCAAACGACGGCTTTGCAGCAAGGAATACTACAAAATCCTTGAAGGTAACAGACAACACCTTCTTGCTACGGGCAGAGGCAGTTGCGACCATGGGAGCCCACGCGTCCCTGAGGGAAGGACACGTGGTCATACACACAGTTTCTAGGAGAGCCACGGACTGTCTACAGCACAGCATATCCAAAGACAACATCCACCTCCTTACCATCAAGCACAATATTCTTGCTCATGATAGAAGAATTTATCATAAACTGAGTCCCTAGTGACATAGGCATCGGAGGGAATGAGCTCGTTAAGAAACTGCCTCCAAATCCCATGATCAGTCACCCAAGCCGAAAATCTTGAGGCACAGGTCCAACGCCACAGGACTAGCCACTCTCCAAGTTTTGGAGACAATTGGCTATGCTGACAGGTGTTGCAAGCACTGTGGCGAGCCGAACGCAAGGACAAGGACCACCCACCACAGCCTCCGGGCGCTCTCTGTCTGTCTGTCTGTCTGTCTGTCTGTCTGTCTGTCTGTCTCTCTCTCTCTCTCTCTCTCTCTCTCTCTCTCTCTCTCTCTCTCTCTCTCTCTCTCTCTCTCTCTCTCTCTCTCTCTCTCTCTCTCTCTCTCTCTCTCTCTCTCTCTCTCTCTCTCTCTCTCTCTCTCTCTCTCTCTCTCTCTCTCTCTCTCTCTCTCTCTCTCTCCCTCTCCCTCTCCCCCTCCCCCTCTCCCTCTGTGTGTGTGTGTGTGTGTGTGTGTGTGTGTGTGTGTGTGTGTGTGTGTGTGTGTGTGTGTGTGTGTGTGTGTGTGTGTGTGCGCGCGCGCGCGCGTGCGTGGGCGTTTCCTGACAGATAATCAACAAAAAATGTTATCGTGGAATATCACATTTTATATTACATTTTGTCGCTGATTTTTTCCTGTTTGTCAGACGTAAGACTTAATATTGTTGCATGTTTCTAGAAAATCTTTGTGCATGTATCCAACCTCCCTTCAATCTACAGATATCCCAGACTGGTCTATAAACAGTGTCTGTAACATGTTAAGATGATATTATGAAAAAAAGATAGTGTATAAAAGTATCTTATTTAATATACTAAATTAATGTAAAGGAAATGTATCGGATCATTCCAGCAAACAATATTCGGTTCGTATCCCCCTTGGCAATGTAAACAAACAGACGGAGGCGGAAACGATGGCCAATTTGCGACGCAAGTAGTAATGCCAGTCAAAAAATATGTAAAGGAAGCAAAAGAAGTAACAATGTTCCGCTAGAAATACGCATGTCTGGCTGTATACATATAGAAAGAATGGAAACTTTTGAAAAACTATATTTCTTCCCAGTTCATAATGTAACTATTTATGGTTAGTATAGAGTGATAATATGGTTCGGAATAAGTGGTGTTTAAAGAATCGACGTTGGGATTTTGATATCTGACATACGCATCACAAATTATTTTCACTGACTTCTAGCGCTGTTTCTGGTATATGCGAGATCATCTTTATCAAACCTTTCATCCATATGAATATTATTGAGTGGATATTCAATGCGTAG